CGAGTGCATTCCATACCTGTGAAACATCGGAGCTAAGGACTCTCATGCTGATGATATATACTGCTTCCTGCGCCACCTAAAGTTGTATTTTGGGTAAGAAGTTAAATTCCTCTGCTAGTCCTGTTACAACCTTCCTCCATGCCAGGCCTTCCTCAGAGAAAGAGCATCAGCAAAGTACCGAGGCAGTTTCGTTCTTCAGGCTTTCCCTGTCTCTTCGTTCATCTTCCCGTTCTTATTCTGCATGAACACAGAGCCTGTTTCCCTCAGGGACCATTTCCTTCCCGGATCACAGACCGGTCCCCAAGGTGATGGGGTCCCCCAGACTCCCTGTGCCATTGAGCAGTCAGAGCCAGCCCTGACTCAGGCCCAGCCAAGCCAGCCCAGTGAACTCTTGTGGCCACAACTGGGAGATACTCAGAAGAAAGTTCGGCAAGTTTGCAGTGGGCAACAGAAAGACCTCTCACTCTAGGATCCTGGGATGGGATGCTCAACAGCATTTGTCACCATTATTAATAATTACATCCAGCCTTAGTGAGATTGATCCAGCACGGATTCATGGATCCGTTTCACATCTGTAGCCATGGCAGCAATAAGCTAAATTTCCCCATCACCTCAACTCCATGCCCCCCTCTGTGCCTGCTAAATTTTATAGCTCAAATGTGATTAGGTGAAATTAGGAGCCAGAAACCCCATAAGAAGTATGGAGAGATAAGGGGCAGCCCACACAGCTGGAGGTCGGGGGCGCAGGCAGCACTTGATGAGGAGTGTTTTATAGGCCAAATAGGGTTGTGTCGGGCCTTTGTCAGCATGTGTGTTCCGATGGGGCCCCAAGAACTGGAACCATTTCAAAGTCAGTAAGCATGACAGCTGGGGAAAATCTGAGCATTTCTCTAAATATTCATAAGCAGGATTCTGAAAGTCATTTACTGGGTAATCACCTGTAAAGTGCCAATGCTAAGCTTGGAAGGATGTGGGAGAGGAGAAAGAAGATAGGACAAGGCTGGGGTGTGGGAAGGGGACACCAGGTCCTGTCCATACCTCTATGGACCCACCTCCAGAAAGAGGCCCTCTGGAAGTTATTGCTTTATTCAACCGGTTCATTCATGATCCTTTTGGTTTCTAAGCTTAATTTACAGAACTAGTCATGCCTATATCTAACTTAAGTTTGAAGCACTCTACATAATTTTGGTCTGTAGGGGCATGTTTTACAATTGTCTTTTTAGTACTGAGTTCCTTAATGCCAACATAAATTTTGTGTTTAGTGAAAGTCTAGCCACCACCATAAATGTTTACTGGTCAAATACTATGATGTGGGTGGCCTGAACCAAAGGTGTGGACTGTATTGGACCTCTAAATAGGATCAATGGCACACCCCAGGTTCCTGCAGTTATGTGAGGGGCTTTCTTTTTCCTTCTGCTTATGGTTTACAACATAACTTTCTGGAAAGCACTGGTAATAACTGGGGGAAACTTGCCAGTAAAAGGTACATGATTATATCTGGCCAATGAAATGGAGCAAAAATGTAACAAAAAGGCTTCTCTGAGAAATGACTGGTTACACAGAAAGTGAGAGAAGTGTGAAGGTAGAAACCAGGAAATGTGGATGTCCAGGAAGGTAGAAGAGATCAAAACCATTCAAGAGGAGGAAGGGAAAGTGACACAGGGCAAACGATCTGTGAGTGATGAAGGTGTGGCCCGTGCCAAGAAGGAAAGCCAACCCTCTTCAGCTGGAGTACAGAACACGAAGGATTCCCCAGTGTGGCAGATGCAAAAAAGACTCCACTTTCAGCCCATGGCAGAAGCCATCAGCCACCTGTCAGAGAAACATGGACAATCAAGACAGAAGCAATCAGTGAGCTGCTAGTTTGAGGCCAAGGGCCAACAGAAGCATGCAGAGATGACAGCAGGTGTCGGCACTGCTGATCCACAATGTCCAAGACTGTACATCCCACTGCTGGGAGCTGGTACAGAGGCACGTTCCCAGCCTTTTTTATCAGGATCCCCTCTTGCATCCTTAACAAGATCCCCAGAGGATTCACAGGTACAGGGATGTTGGAGAACCACGCACTTCAAGCGTAGGGTTAATATAATGGGTGCAAGGTTCCTACTTTTAAAACTTTTTTTTAATGAGATTGTTCAAACCCCATGGGCCAGAAACAGCATTTTATGTGGCAAAGCCCTGTAAAAGTTAGGTTGTAAAGTTAGTCATGTCCTTCAATTGCTAGTTAATTCTAACTTCACTGTCAAGGAAACTGAAATTAAAATTTGAACAGAATGCGGAGGAAAAACAGGTAAATTCTTGAAACCTTACTACAGAGAGTGGAAGGAATGCTAAAGGTACCAGAAATACCTTGCGACCCACGTGAGGAGTGTTCTGAAGGAGGACCAGAAAGGCTATTGATGGCCTTAGGTGTCCACCTATCCAGGCACACAGCAGGGTCAGAAACAAAGTATACCCAAAGCTCTGACACAGAGCAGTACCTCCTTGCTGGTAGCAATCCTCAAGACTTAGTGCCTGGCACAGAGTGAGCACCTATACATCTTTGTAAAATACTTATGAAATTGTTGTTGACGCCTTATCTGATTCAGAGCAGATATGGTGATTACAGGGTATATCCTACTCCAAAACACAGTCTTGCTAGGAAGGGAGCTGGGTCTAAAAAACAATGTGTGGGGGGACAGACAGAAAGAAGGGAAGTGCCATTAGTGAAGTAATTTACTTCATGCCACCTGGCCAGATGGAGAAGACAGTTGGAAAGCTCCCAAAAGTATAAACTAGCGTTTGCACACAGTTCCCCTCAGTAGACTCGAGTTTTGAAAAATCACAGGCAGAGATTTAAAAAATAAGAATGTTACCTACAATAAATGTAGAAAAATGGCTCCAACTTTAAGAAGAATGTCAGGAGATCTGATTGCCCAGGATAAATTTTTTATTACCAAAAAGTAGTAGTAGTAATAATAACAACAATACTGCAGGATGCACCTAAAGAAGAGGCCCTTTTAAAACAGGATTTGGGCAAAAAGAAGATCAAGATAAGGCCACTGTTTAGTGCAATGTTGAGGAATGGTTCAAAGTCCTGTCCTTCAATTGCTATTTAATTTTGACTTCACTGTCAAGAAAACTGTTCTCCATATTGAAAAGGATGCAACAAAATTAGGCAGGAAATAGCAGAAAGCAAAACTTGGTGAAAAGATCAGAAGACACTGCTGTGTCCTGACCTAGATAAAATGCACCCCAGAATATAGACAGAGAGAGAATAGCTTCATCATGTTTGTGGTTTTTAAGGAATTGTGAAAATTTGGGGAAATGAGTCTGTAACCAAACGGGGGCAAATATTAAGAGCAAAGTGACCACAAGAAGCCAGCATGGAATCAATAAGAACAAAACAAGTAATACTGGCTTTTAGGTCACTTTTTTTTCTTTTAAGTCCTCACTTGAGGACATTTTTCCATTGATTTTTAGAGAGAATGGAATAGAGAGGGAAAGACACAGGGAAATATCAATATGAAAGGAACACATTGATTGGTTGCCTCCTGCATGAGCCCCTACCAGGGCCTGGGCCAGGGAGGAGCCTGCAACCAAGGTACGTGCCCTTGACCAGAATCGAACCTTGGGACCCTTCGGTCCACAGACTGATGCTCTGTCCACTGAGCCAAACTGGTTAGGGCTTAGGTCACTTTTTGACAGTAGCTCAGAGAATGGTGGTAATCCAGTAGACCCAAATTATACAATATGTTTCATTTTCAAAGCCTTCCTGATGTTCCTGTGGACAAGATAGAGAAATATCAGGTGGCTGCCAATGTAAGATGATGCAGTGATAACTGTTGAATAACCACTGGAGATACTATATAAGGATCAGAGTCAACCTAGTTTCCAGCAGAGAGCCACACATATTTTATCATAGACTTGAGCAGAGATGTAGGAGGAAAATTTGTGTTTGTAGATGATCTGAAGCTGCTGAGTGATGGGAATAATGTAATCAGATTCTAAAAGATCTTGACAAACAGGAACATGGGACCAGAACTAGTTAGATAAAAGATAATGGTAATTTATATTAGACACTGCTCTTAGGTCCACAAAAACAACGGGGTGAAGTGCAAGGTAGGGAAGCCCTGTTTGTTGTAGATGTTAGTCAACTATAAGCGCAATAAGTCAATGACATGACTGATGTTAGTGCCAGAAAAGTTAATATAGCCAAATATAATTAAAAGTTTCCATAAAGAGGGAGTAATCCTACTCTAGCCTGCACAGCTGTTAGCTGTTCTCTCCAAGAGCTGTCACACTGTGTGAGGTCTAGAAGCAGACTGGTGGGACTTGGAGGAGAGGGTGGTGTTAGGCAGACCAGGAGACTATACCATACAAAGACCTGTTGAAGCAAAGGAGGTGTTAAGTCTGGAAGGCACACATCTCTGGGACAGTGTAACTGTCTTACAAGTACCTGATGATCAGCCATACAAAACCGAGACCTGACTTCTCCATCTGCATTGAAGGCCTAGCGTAGGACTGGCTTTGGGAAATACGTTAAGGAATTCTTCCTAACAGTGAGAGCCATGCCACAGGGGAATCAGTTGGAGAGTTCTTGGTCTTTAGAGGCAATGACTTGGTCTTTAGAGGCAAGTTCTTGGTCCATCTCAGGCTATGACTTGCACATGTGTAGAGGCGTCCAAGCACCACAGACCAGGTCAAAGCCTGACACTCCTGCAAGCAGATGGTGCAGTTAGCCTTTCCTTTTTCTTCATGGGCCTGCTCCCCTCCACTATTAAGCATGGAACCTAGGCTGTGTGCATGCACATGTGTGCACACATATGTTTAGGAGTAGAAAGAGGGGGAGATGAGGATGGGGAGGCAAAAGGATTG